GCAGCCTGTTTTTAGACAAGTTTTAGGCTTCACTTGACAAGAGTTTGCGAAGGACGTTGTGAAGGTCACTAGCTGTGAGAATATGCTGAAGCAGACAGAAACAAGCAGCTGTGACTGGTGTCTGTAACTGAAAACAGAAACAAACCCAGGCTGCAGGTGGGGAGAAACAGGAGCGTGATCAGCAGCGAAGAGCGAATCAGCAAAAGGAAAACAGCGTGTGAACAGGAGCATGGACTGCATGTGCTTGTTGTTAAGAGCCAATCAATATAGAGCATTTAGAAAACAAGGACGTTGTGAACTGTATATTAACCGCGTTAGTCCGTTAATAAAGTGGCATTTGCTTGATCACATTAGTCGTCAGCAGTGTCCGTGACTTCCGCGTCAACAGGCACTTAGTGCCCTGGTCTGGCTGATGTGATGGTGTTGGGTGATAGGCTGGACTTGATGATCTCAGAGGTCTTTTCCAGCCTCAACAATTCTGTGATTCTGTGAAGGAAGGAGCAGGGGGAGGATGTGCTCCAGGTGCCCATGCAGATGTTCTCCTGAGTTGTGGTGAAGACCATGGTGAGGCAGGCTGTCCCCCTGCAGTCCATGGAGATGATGGGGGTGTAGATGTCCACCAGTGGCCTATGGAGGACCCCACACCACAGCAGATAGATGTCTGAAGGAGGCTGTGACCTCATGGGAAGCCCACACTGAAGCAGACTCCTAGCAGGATCTGTAGCCCATGTAGAGAGGATCCCACACCGGTGCAGGTTTGCTGGCAGGACTTGTGAACCCGCAGGGGACTCACACTGGAGCAGTCTGCTCCTGAAGGACTGAACCCCATGGAAAGGACTCACGTTGGGCAGTTAGTCAAGAATTGTCTCTTGTGTGAAGGACCCATTGGAGAAATTTGTGAAGAAAGCTCTTCTGTGAGAGGGACTCCATGCTGAGGCAGGGAAAGAGAGTATGAGGAGTCCTCCTCCAGAGGAAGAAGGAGTGGCAGAGACAACATCTAATGAACTGACCACAACCCCCATTCCCCGTCATGCTGTGTCACACAAGTGGAGGAGATCGAGTAACCAGGAGCAAAGTTAAGCCTGGGCACAAGGGAGAGGTGGAGGGAAGGTGTTATTTTTAAGATTTGGATTTATTTCTCATTGCCCTTTTCTTACTTGATTGCTAATAAATTCAGTTTCCCCAAACTGAGCCTGTTTTACCCATGATGGTAATCAGTGAGTGATCTCCATGTCCTTATCTTGACTCATAAGCTCTTCATTATATTTCCTCTCCCGTGTCTATCTGAGAAGTGGAGTGACAGAGCAGCTGTGGCAGACACCAGGCCTCCAGCCAGGGCAAACCACTACTGGTGCCCTTCATGTAAGCTTTTTGTGCACTGCAGTGCTGTTCTGGCCCTGAAAGGGGAAAATGTTAAATGCTTTGTGTTTTTTTTCCTTTTTCCTGCATGAACAGTAGTGCACTTTTCCCATGCTTTGAGATTTTGCTCAGAAATTAAGAATGCAGAGTATGAAATTAAATCAAACACCCCAGCATGATGCTACTAACTTTTATTGAGAGCTCACATGAAAGCAGGATAAAATAAGAGAGTGGATTGTGGCTAAAAGACAGTGACTAAAAAGACAGCGATGAGGAATTAAATTGCATGCTGATCAATGTCAAATATTATACAAGAGCAGATTTCCTGTCAAAGAACAAACAGGATTCAAAATTAGGTTTTACTGAAAACTTTCAGTTAGATGGCACTTGAGGTCTTCAGAAGATTTTGGTTTCAATGATTTTTCTTCCCACCATAGGCTTTATCCATGCTGTAGATTAATGCAAGACTCGAAGAGTAGTATGAATATTCTAGGAATTAAACTGAGGAGATAAACACCAAGTTAGACTTATGTCTTTTTAGAAAAATGTACTCTATAAATAAAGAAATTATACATTTGCTGTGTGTGCTCAATACTCCTAATGCCTGGCAATAACACATTTGGTGCTCCCATGTTATTGATGGGCTAGATGAATGACAGACCAAGCCATCTTGTGAAAGCCCAGCCAGTGGTGGAGACAGTTACTCCAGACAGATAGTTCTAGCCCAGGCATTGCTCCCAGTGTGTACCATCCTAGGAAATTTTTGAAATTTCTATACCCACCTATAGCTTAAGACATATAGTAGAGACAGAGGGGGCAAGAGGAATGCTATTCACCTAGGTTATTAAAGATTAAACCCACCGTTTCTTCATGATTTGATATATGTAACTGGACTGACTGCAGAAATACTAACAAAAGGGCTGGTTTTACT